GGAGGCGGAGGTTGCGGTGAGCCGAGATCGCGCCATTGCACTCCAGCCTGGGTAACAAGAGCAAAACTCCGTCTCAAAAAAAAAAAAAAAGGAGTTGAATTTTGACCCAAGGAGATGCAGGGAAGGGTGTTTCAGGCAGAAGGAACAGCATCAGCAAAGGCTCAGAGGCGAGGTCTATGCTCAGGAAATCCTCCACTGCAAACTCAGGAAGAGCTGGGAGCCCAATACTCAGGCAATGGTAGTTTTCTTACCCGGGCCTCATACCCCACCAAATCCCGAGTGCCCTGTCACCTTTCAACCTCCATCCATGTGTAAATTTTTTTTGACATTTCTTTTATTAATTATCCAGGTTTTTTAAAAAATGAAATAGCCAGGCATAGTGGTGAGCTACAATCTCAGCTACTTGGGAGGCTGAGGTGGGAGGATTGCTTGAGCCCATAGGTTCGAGTCCAACCTGAGCAACATGGCAAGGTTCCTCCTCTAAAAAGGAAAGAAAGGGAAGAAAGGGAAGATAGGAAGGAAGGAAAGGAAAGAAAGGAGAGAGGGAGGGAGGGAGGGAAAGTAAAGGAAAGAAAGAAAGAAAGAATGAGAGAAAGAAAGGCAATACACATTTGGTTACAAAAACTAAGATAAACAGAATTTACAAGAAAAAAATGGATGCCTTTCCCCTAAAGCTGTCGCTGGAATTCCCAGACTGTTGTACGTCCTTCCAGAGGTATTTTCTGCATACAGTAGCAATAGCTATGTGATTTTCTTGCTCTTTTTCTGATTAATGGGAACATACTAGACACACTATTTGCACCTTCTGTTTTGTCTCTTGGAAATAAATCTTGTACATCTTTTCAAATTGGCACTGAGGGACTGATTGATCTCATTCTTTATAAGGGCTGCTGGCTGTTATTTAACTGGCCACCTACTGAAGGACTTTTGGGGTTTTTGCAATCTGTGACTACAACCAACTGCAGCAAAAAATATCCTTATTTATGTAAGTGCATGTTCGCATGTGACTGTGTCTGTAGGGTGAATTGCTAGAAGTGGAATGCTGGAACACAGAGTGATGCTTTAAAATCTTTGGTACATACTGGCATAGTTCCTTCCAAAGAAGTTATATCAATTTACACGTCCACCAACAGTAAAAATCACTGTTAAAAAAAAAAAATGTATGCAGGCCGGGTGTGATGGATGATGGCTGTAATCTCAGCACTCTGGGAGGCCAAGGTGGGCAGATCACTTGAGGCCAGGAGTTCGAGATCAGCCTGGCGAACATGATGAAACCCTGTCTTAACTAAAAATACAAAAATTAGCTGGGTGTGGCGGTGCTCACCTGTAATCTCAGCTACTCAGGAGGCTGAGACATGAGAATCACTTGAACCTGGGAAGCAGAGGTTGCAATGAGCCAGGATCACGCCACTGCATTCCAGCCTGGGTGACAGAGGGAGACTCTGTCTCAAAAATAAATAAATAAATACAAAAGAATGTATGTAATAGCTCTAATCCTTACTCTATAGCTACCCCTTATCCCAATTATGAGGGGTGTTCACAATCTACTGGGCTGTGATACACACTTGGAAAAACAGTACATTTTAATACTATTTTAATTTGTGTGATAAGAAACAATACAGTAAATCTAGATTTAGTTTCTGAGGAAAATAGAGTCTTCTCCTAAAACCATCACTAGAAGAAATTTTATAGTATTCAATAAAATGTGTTAAAAACAGAAACGTCATCAAGGACTTCAGCCTAGAGCCAAGAACACAGATGCAAACTGTGGCCCGAGTAGCTTCCCCTGGGGGATTTTTAACTTTTCAGGAGAAATTAGAGAATTTGAGATGCAGAGTCAATTTATGACTGAAGTATTAGAACTCTTTCAGTAACAAGGGATAGAATCCCATTCAAACTGATTTAAACAGAAAAGGGAACGTATGGACTCATGCATGTGAGGAGTCCAGGGCTGCTTCAGGCATGGCTAGATCAAGAGGCTGAAATGAGGTTCACACAGCATTTCTTGACTCTGTTTTCTTTTATGTTGGTTTCAATCTCAGACGGTCTCTCCTCATACAGGCAAAGATGGGTTCTGGAAGCTCTGGGCTGCCATCCCAGCAGCTTAGCAACCTCAGAAGGAAAAGAGCTCCTCTTTTCAGCTATTTTCAGTTGAATGACTCTTTTTATACTTCATAATGTAAACTTTTATTTATTTGGTTTTTTTTTGTTTCTTTGAGACGGAGTTTCGCTCTTGTTACCCAGGCTGGAGTGCAATGGCGCGATCTCAGCTCACCGCAACCTCCGCCTCCTGGGTTCAGGCAATTCTCCTGCCTCAGCCTCCTGAGTAGCTGCGATTACAGGCACACGCCACCATGCCCAGCTAATTTTTTGTATTTTTAGTAGAGACGGGGTTTCACCATGTTGACCAGGATGGTCTCGATCTCTTGACCTCGTGATCCACCCGCCTCGGCCTCCCAAAGTGCTGGGATTACAGGCTTGAGCCACCGCGCCCGGCCTATTTATTTGTTTTTTGAGATGAGGTCTTGCCATGTTGCCCAGGCTGGTTTTGAACTTCTGGGCTCAAGTGATACTCCTGCCTCAGCCTCTTGAGTAGCTGGGATGGCAGGCACGCACCACTGTGCCTGCTATAAGAGGAACTTTTTTTTTTTTTTGAGACAGTCTCGCTCTGTTGCCCAGGCTGAAGTGCAGTAGCACAATCTCACCGCACTGCAATCTCCCCCTGCCAGCACTCTGAGCCTCAGCTTCCTCATCTGTAAAATGGGGATAGTAAAAGTGCCAAATCAGAACAAATGCTAATGCTTACCTGCAGTCCTGTATTGAGACGGATTGTGAGATTATATCTTGGGTTGGTAGGAAAGCATTCAGGGATTGATTAGTGATGTCTGCCTTGGACACGGGTTAAGAGGGTGATGGCATATGTGCTGTGTGTCTGTCATCGCTGGATTAGATGATTTCTAAGTTCTAGCTGTCAGCTCCTCTGGTTCAGCACCCTGGCAACGAGAAAGAATCAAGGGCATGGTCAGGGGAACTGAATAGGAAGGTGAGAGTGGCCAGTACCCCATTCCTGGCTTTCTGTGCCTACAGAGTTCACCCATGCAGGGCAGGGAGGGCTGATTGAAGAGCCCACAGGTGATGAGCTACCAACCAAGAAGGGGCGGAGGAACCGTTTCAAGTGGGGCCCAGCATCGCAGCAGATCCTGTTCCAGGCCTATGAGAGGCAGAAGAACCCCAGCAAGGAGGAGCGAGAGACGCTGGTGGAGGAGTGCAATAGGTACCACGCGGGCGGGAAACAGCGCGGGCTTCATCTGGGCTGAGGCCAGGCCAGGGAAGGGGAAGGGACTCCAGGCCCTGGAAGAGGCTGTCCAGTCACTGAGATCTCCAGAGCTGGCTTAGCCTGGTCCAGAGAACGGAGAATACTTCAAGCTAACCCCGTTCCTAGCAGCCACCGGCACCCTGTACACCAAGCTAACCCTTCCATGGACACTCACCTAATTTTATTCCCTCTACAATCCTATGGCTGGTGTTTTGTTTTGTTTTGTTTTTTGTTTTGAGATGGAGTTTCACTCTTGTCTCCCAGGCTAGAGTGCAATGGGGTGACCTTGGCTCACTGCAACCTCCACTTCCCAGGTTCAAATAGTTCTCCTTCCTGAGCCTCCCAAGCAGCTGGGATTACGGGCGCCCACCACCATGCCTGGCTAATTTTTGTATTTTTAGTAGAGACAGGATTTTGCCATGTTGGCCAGGCTGGTCTCAAACTCCTGACCTCAGGTGATCCACTTGCCTCGGCCTCCCAAAGTGCTGGGATTACAGGCATGAGCCACCAAGCCTGGCCAATCCTATAGCTGTTTTGTGGACTTTATGAATGAAGAGACAGGTCAGAGAGGCTGTCACTTGCCCAAGGTCACACAGCAGAACTCGCACTGGAGCCCAGATGTGCCAGGCTCAAACCCGCAGGCAGGGCTCAGCTTCTCAGAACCTTTGCCCTCATGCCCAGGAGAGGGTTCCTCTGAGCCTGGCATGGAGGCTCAAGGGTGGCTATTTCTGCAGGGCAGAATGCATCCAGAGGGGAGTGTCCCCATCACAGGCACAGGGGCTGGGCTCCAACCTTGTCACAGAGGTGCGTGTCTACAACTGGTTTGCCAACCGGCGCAAAGAAGAAGCCTTCCGGCACAAGCTGGCCATGGACACATATAGCGGGCCCCCACCAGGGCCAGGCCCCGGATCTGCGCTGCCTGCTCATAGCTCCCCTGGCCTGCCCCCACCTGCCCTCTCCCCCAGTAAGGTCCACGGTGAGTGCTATGTGGGAACAGGGGACATGTGGGTAGGTGGGAAGGTTGGGGAGGATTGTCCCAGTGACAGCACTCACACAAACCTCAGCGCTTCTGTTGGGTTCCATTCCATTCCCGTCACTCCTTATCACTCTAGTTCACTCTGTCCCTTCGTCCCTTCCGCTCTGTCTCCATTCCATTCAATCCGCTCCTTTCCACTCTCTTCACTCCATCCCATTCCACTCCACCCACTACAATTAACCCCATTCCATTCAGGCCACTCCATTCCATCTATACCATTCCCCACCACTCTATTCACATACTCCATCCAACTTCATTCCATCAACTTCACTTCATCCATTCCATTCAACTTCACTCCATCTACTCCATCCAGCACCTCTCCATCCACTCCACACTCCACTCTGTCCAGTCAACTCTATCCACTCCATCCACTACATTCAACCCCATTGCATCCACTCCACTCCATCTACTACATTCAACTCTACTCTATTCACTCCATACTCTATTCCATCCACTTACTCCATACACTCCATTTAGCGTGACTCCATCAACTCCATCACTTCATTCAACTCCATTCCATCCACTCCACTACACCGATTCCATCCACTGCACTCCACGCATTCCATCCCCTCCACCCACCCACTCCACTCCACACCATCCTCTCCACTCCACACCATCCCCTCCACTCTATTCACATACGCCATCCACTCCACTGCACGCCATCCCCTCCACTCTATTCACATCCTCCATCCACTCCACTCCACACCATCCCCTCCACTCCACACCATCCCCTCCACTC